CACTACATCAAAAACTAATGATGTAATGTATGGTGATTAACATAACAATAAAAAAATTTAAAGGAAAAATAAAAAAATAAACATGATGGGCATACCTTAAGGATGTCACATGACAGGGTAGATGTTGAAGATGAAGAAGGTTGCTGGAAAGTACTGGTGAGAACCAGCCAGGTGTGTGTTGTGGTTCCACAAAGCATTGGTCTCCCAGGAATAGAACCCCAACAGAGGTCTGTTCCAGTACAGATGGATGACCTTCCAAGGATGCTGACCTGAGGTTGGCAGGGCCCTCCCTCACTTCTACTCAGCCTTGTGATGAGTCTAGTCGTGTGCTCTGATCAATGTGCAAGGCACTGATTCATTGAGAAGCAAGTCACCAATCACCAGCAGTAAGCATTTCTGCTTCAAACAGCCTTCCCAACGTTTGGGCTAGATGTCCCCGGGTTTGAGAGGCCGTTCTGTCCCTACACTCCTCCTGACCTGAGTGGAAAGAGGATTTTTATGAGTTGTAAAAACAGATAAAATTAAGTTGGGTAGCATGTACACTCACATTGAACATTGGATCAATTGAAGGATAAAAATTCATTTTTCAGTAGCTGTTCTATTGTGGTCAGCAATAGACTTTTCATGATTAGTCTGATGTGTACATCCAGAAAAGAAGGTGTATATTTTGTGTTATGTATCCAGTGAGTTGGTAGATGCTCAGGTCTTATAAAATAGTGTAGACACCCTGGAGTATAATCTGATTTTTCCATTTCTTTCTGATATTGTCCAACCCTAGCCATTGTGCTTGTACTTGCTTATTCTTGGCCCCGGGATACCTGCCCCAGCACCAGGCATCAATCCATGTTCCTTGTAGTGTCAATCTGATAGGACTTAGGGAATTTGATTTGAACCATTGATTTTCTCATTCAGGGAAAGCCATCCTCCCCAAGGCACTACTCCCTCTGTGCCACTGACCATTGACCACTACTTCCTCTGTGTCATTGACCATGGGCCAGTCTAAGTAGGATTATGTAACTGTAGCAGAAGTGGACACAGAAGATGTTTGTGAATGTCTCTTCTTTGAACTCTTTCACACGGTCTGGCACAAAGGCACTGGCACTTTGCCCTGAAACTAGCTTTTTCAAAAAGGCCCTAATATTGAGAGTATCCTTAATCTTAGTGCATACTGA